CGGTTGGTGCCACCAACCGGGACCAAAGGTCTTTTTTCAGCAGCCCAAAGGGCGGGAAGCAGAGGCCTTTGGTCCCGGTTGGTGGCACCAACAGGGACTAAAGGGTGGCATTGGTCCCGGTTGGTGCCACTAACTGGTACCAATGCACCCCTTTAGTCCCGGTTGGTGCGACCAATCGGGACCAAAGGCCTTGTGCTGCCCGCATCAAAAGTTTAGTCCCACCTCGCTAGTTGAGAGAGCTCGAGAGTGGTTTATAAGCGCTGCTGCGCCCACCCTCTCAAACTCCTCTCAACTGCAGGCTTTCGGGCCTAACCTGTCATTGTGTGCATGTTGGCCTTCTGGGCCTGCTGCGGGCCTGAATCCTGGCCCATGATTGGGTTTCTAATTGTATTCAAGCCGTGGTAGCCAAGTAGGTGGCACTTTTTTTTGCTTTATTTATTTTATTTTGTTTCTACTTACTATTGCTATTTTTATTTATTTTAGTTTACTTTAGTTTATTTTGTTTCTACTTATTTATTAAAGTCTATTTTGTTTCTACTTATTTATTTTACTTTATTTCTACTTATTTATTTTCTTTTATTTTTTGCTTTTTTATTTATTTTATGAAAATTCTTTTTGCTTTTAATGTTTTGAACAGAAAATACTTTGATAATTTTAGTTGCATAAATTTTATATAATTTTAGTTTCAATAATACTAGAAGTTTATAAAAGATTTTTGGTTGATTCCTTTAGCTATTAGAGTTTCATTAAAGTTTTCTAGTTCATTCTTTTTTCTATCAGAGTTTCATTAAAGTTTTCTAGTTCATTCTTTTAGTTTACTATTTTTGCTATTAGAGTTTGATAAAAGTTTTCCAGTTCATTCTTTGAGCTAAATGACCCTGAAATTGAAAAGCATTTCAAATGAACTCTGAAAAGGTTGAAAGTTGGCATGGCATCATCATTTCACCCACATAGCATGTGCTAAAAAGTTGAGAGGGTTATGGCAAAAACTGGATGCACTTCATGTATAAAACAGACTATTTGTTTCGAGGTATCAGGGTTTCGGACGAAAACTCGTGTGTTACAACAGACATATCATTTCTTCACATGTAACTGCAATGATATTCTAGATCAAAGGCATGATCATAATAGTCGTGGAGAGAAAGTATTCACTTTTTCTTCGCTTCTGTCCTTTGCTTATTGCGCCGTAACCATGGATAATATTCATCATTTAACAGGGTGCTTGGGTCAGCCTTGACTTTGAAGGGAGGAATTTCATGAAACTTTGCATAATCTTCGGATATGTCTGTCTTGCCCTCCACTCCCGCGATCTCTCTTTTTCGTGAAAAAACTATGTGGCGCTTTGGCTCATCGTATGATGTGTTCGCTTCCTTATCTTTTCTTTTTTTCGGTTTGGTAGACATGTCCTTCACATAGAAAACCCGCGCCACATCATTGGCTAGGACGAGCCGTTCGTTTGTGTACCCAAGATTGTTCAGATCCACTGTTGTCATTCCATACTGTGGGTCTACTTGTACCCCGCCTCCTGACAGATTGATCCATTTGCACTTAAACAAAGGGACCTTAAAATCATGTCCATAGTCAAGTTCCCATATGTCCACTATGTAACCATAATATGTGTCATTTCCCCTCTTGGTTACTGCATCAAAGTGGACACCGCTGTTTTGGTTGGTGCTCTTTTGATCTTGGGCGATCGTGTAAAATGTATTAGCATTTATCTCGTATCCTTTGTAAATCAATACAGTCAAAAATGGTCCCCTGGACAACGAGTATAGCTCATCACAAACAGTGTTGTCACCTCTGAGACTTGTTTCCAACCAACTGCCGAAAGTCCTGATGTGTTCACATGTAATCCGGTCGTCACGCTGCTCTGGGTGTTTGGAGCGTAGGCTGTTCTTGTGTTCATCGACATACGGGGTCACCAAGGTAGAGTTCTGTAGAACTGTGTACTGTGCTTGAGACTAAGAATACCCTTCCCTGCATATTATTGAGTCCCCTCCAAGCGTGCCTTTTCCAGTCAGTCTCCCCTCATACCGCGATTTAAGGAGACCAATCTTATTAAGGCCAGGAATGAAGTCAACACAAAATCCAATGACATCCTCTGTTTGATGGCCCATGGAGACGCTTCCTTCTGGCCTAGCATGGTTATAGACATATTTCTTTAGGACTCCCATGAACCGCTCAAAAGGGAACATATTGTGTAGAAATACGGGGCCCAGAATGACAATCTCGTCGACTAGATGAACTAGGACATGCGTCATGATATTGAAGAAGGATGTGTTGGGAAATGTAGCAGAAATTCAAAATTTTCTACGCATCACCAAGATCTATCTATGGAGAGACTAGCAACGAGAGAGAGGAGAGTGCATCTACATACCCTTGTAGATCGCTAAGCGGAAGCGTTCAAGAGAACGGGGTTGAAGGAGTCGTACTCATCGTGATGCAAATCACCGGAGATCCTAGTGCCGAACGGACGGCACCTCCGCGTTCAACACACGTGCAGCCCGGTGACGTCTCCCATGCCTTGATCCAGCAAGGAGAGAGGGAGAGGTTGGGTAAGACTCCGTCCAGCAGCAGCACAACGGCGTGGTGGTGATGGAGGAGCGTGGTACTCCAGCAGGGCTTCGCCAAGCACCGCAAGAGACGAGGAGGGAGAGGGGCAGGGCTGCGCCAAGAGGGAGAGGTTCTCATGTGTATGGCAGCCCCAAACCCTCCACTATATATAGGGGCAAGGGGGAGGGGGAGGCGCCCTAGGGTTTCCCCTAGGGGGGGCGGCGGCCAGGGCAGATGGGATCTCCACTTTGGGTGACTTGGCCCCCAAGCCAGGAGGTGGGAACCCTAGATGGGGCGCCCCAAACCCCCTGGTCACGTGGGAATAGGTGAGAGGGGCGCACAACCCCTTAGTGGGCTGGTTTGCCCCCTTCCCTTGGCCCATGAAGCCCCCCCAACACTTGCCGGGGCTCCTGAAACACCTTTCGGTCATGCTGGTCATCACCCGGTACCTCCAGAACACTTCCGTACTCCAAAACCCTTCGTCCAATATATCAATCTTCACCTCCGGACCATTCCGAGACTCCTCGTGACGTCCGGGATCTCATCCGGGACTCCGAACAACATTCGGTAACCACGTATATCTATTCCCTATAACCCTAGTGTTATCGAGCCTTAAGTGTGTAGACCCTACGGGTTCGGGAACCATGCAGACATGACCGAGACGACTCTCTGGTCAATAACCAACATGGGGATATGGATACCCATGTTGGCTCCCACATGTTCCACGATGATCTCATCGGATGAACCACGATGTCGAGGATTCAATCAATCCCGTATACAATTCCCTTTGTCTAGCGGTATTGTACTTGCCCGAGATTCGATCGTTGGTATCCCGATACCTTGTTCAATCTCGTTACCGGCAAGTCTCTTTACTCGTTCCGTAACACATCATCCCGTGATCAACCCCTTGGTCACACTAGTACAAATGCCCGTGCGTTGCACCGGGCAAAAAATGAAATATAACCTGCTCCAGTGCCACTATGCAATATTTTTTAATATAATTTTGTAAACGTCAGAAATAAGGTTGAGTATTTTTTGTAAATCAATGCTGCATAAAGGAAAAGTAAAATAGTTTGATAAACTTTTGGGTGCCAATAGAAGCAGATTCAACTAAATATCTTAAAGATGTGATATGAAAAACAAAGTAAATATTCATATTCTATGAAAGGTAAGTGCAATACGATTAATCTAGTAAAGTAATTTGGAATG